AAGCTTTGAACCGACCACCTCATTCCCAGGGGTTATTATCAACCATGTATTCATTTATATTATAATAACCCTTTTTATACAGTTTTTGTTTAACTGAATATTTAAACTTTGTAATAGAGAGACCTTGTATATTTTCTGGGACCTTGTTGTAATAGCGTATACATTGCCCCAGGAATGAATTACTGACTCTGTGGAGTCAAGAGACCGGTATCACTAGCTTGTGTAGACCGACGAGACAGTCAACATACATAGTACCACATAACGATGTAAGGTTATTATGGCTGTTTTCGCTTTTGATACCGTGTATGCTGGCAGTACCACTTTGAATCCCATTCTTTATCCGCACTGGTAGTAGTTATATTGCTGTTGTGGTACACCCGAACGACTAAGAACAACAGGGAGAGACAACTAGGGCTACCAAACGCCCTTTATTTTAAAGGACGTCCTCAATTTCATAAACAAAAATTGATCTTGTCAGCTTTGTAATCTTTGATAGAGGACAGGCCATTATCGCGCGTATACAACATTCCCTCTGCTAGTTGAGGTCGATGAGTTTAATAATTTAAAATTAAAATTTTTGTACAACCGCCTTCAATATAAATTATCAAGAATAACTCAAAAACTATTGGTCTGACCTTGATCAACTTCATATGGGACCACACGAGAAGTACAAGCTTTCAAATAAAAAAGAATCATCGCAATCGGTTCACCCAGTAAGAAGTTATGAGGTAACACACATAAAAAAACATACAGTCGAATTGTCGGCAGAAAAGAGACAAACATATACATCTATAAGATTCCTCCTTCGAGAGAATGAGATGAAATAATGTATAAATGGAGATAATGTATATAAAATATATAATATAATAATTTATTTCAAGAAACTGTACAATTAATTCAAATAATGTCTTAATTTAAAATAGTCTACAATAACAGGCACCTGAACTGGGATAAACCTGTATCTCAGGTGTATGTGTTAATAGATACATTTACGAATATTTTCTGTTTTTTTTTTATATAAAATTATATAAAATGAATGACATAACTAATTAGGATTATATCAGTAAAATGTATTATCATTAATTTACTTACGATTTTAATTAACTTAAAACAATCAGTAACTTTTCCGTATCATCGTATGATAAACTTTGTAACCATGTACGAATTAAATTTTTACAATCTGGCATTTTTAATGGATACATGCACAAAGTTGCATTGACTTGATTATACAGAAAAGGGCCAAGAAATGTAAAAAAATCTATGCATGAAAGAATGCCTTATTCTTTTTTTTATAGGATAAGGGTGACAAACGAGCACACAGTCTCGTTTGTCACCCTTATCCAGTTGACGGCTCCGTGGCGCAGTGGCTTAGCAATCAGTTGCTGCGCTGGGGGCCGCGGGTTCGAATCCCGTACGGAACAAGTATTTGTATGACCTGCTAATAATTGTTCCGGGTCTGGATGTTTGTCCTTGTGCAATTTATGTTTGTAAACTGCCTCCACGACACAGGAGAAAATCCTAGTGTGGGGGTAACGTTTTAAAAAAAAAATAAAAAAAAGACACAGTCCACCTGATGGTAAGTGATTGCTGTGTCCCATAGACATCTACATTTATCCTCGATTACGAATCAAAATGCAGATGCGTTGTCACCCGTGAGGACTAAGATAGAATGCCTCGTTTCCAGTAAAAAGGGTCTCCGGTTCTCTACACTCACCATACGAAACACAGCTGCATCATGCTGCTATTTTACGCTGGTATTCTGTGAGAGCGTGGTCCTTCCCCGGTCGAGCCGACCCATTCGTGCTACAACTATACTACTGATACAGCTGCAGCATGGCTCTACCACGTATAAAAACTTTTCTAAAAAATTGTAATGTTAGTCCAACTCTGCACACTTCTAATAGTCACACAGACACAATCTAATAGTCAGGATTCTATACCAGGAGCTCGACTTGACATACGGCCTCGTGGATCGGAAGCTGCCTTATTATAAATACTTGCCGGAAGCCGTGCTCAAAAATGACCGCGCCTGGCTCTACTGCGACCGGGCCTAGCTAGGCAAATAAGCCTGATATTGTGCTGATGAACTGGGCACATGATGTTTTTCGTCGACATTACCATTCTGTATGAAGAGAACCTCGTGAAAGCCGAAACATATAAGCGAACGAAATACCTGACTCACGAGGTGACCGACATGTTTGGTGGTCTGCTGACCAAAATTATTCCTGTAGTCGTCTCTGCAAACGGACTAATCCTGCTGAGCCTCTCGGGTCATCTGCGGCAATTGGTACTCCGTGACGGCCTGCCTTAGGCTCAAATGTTAAAGGTAGTGCAGTCAGGATTCTATACCAGGAGCTCGCCTTGAAATACGGCCTCGTGGGTCGGAAGCTGCCTTATTATAAATACTTGCCGAAAGCCGTGCTCGAAAATGACCGCGCCTGGCTCTACTGCGACCAGGCCTAGCTAGTCAAATAAGCCTGATATTATGCTGATGAACTGGGCACATGATGTTTGTCGTCGGCATTACCATTCTGTATGAAGAGAACCTCGTGAAAGCCAAAACATATAAGCGAACGAAATACCTGACTCACGAGGTGACCGACATGTTTGGTGGTCTGCTGACCAAAATTATTCCTGTAGTCGTCTCTGCAAACGGGCTAATCCTGCTGAGGCTCTTGGGTCATCTGCGGCAATTGGTACTCCGTGACGGACTGCCTTGGGATCAAATATTAAAGGTGGACTCCTTGACACCGCCCGCATCATCGGCCGGCTTCTTTCCCTTTCTCCCTAACCCTCGGCCGTTTAGTCTCCCCTACTATGGCCTTTTTCTGTTAAAGCGTAATAAATAGATAAAAAAAAAACATCCATTCATTTAATTATACGAGTATCTTAATTATTGAATGCATTCTATTATGTATAAACTTTATAATTATTTATGAATCTCAACCAAACAAGAATACAATACAAATATCCCCATTAATAGTAATAATTTCTTTGCCTCTGTAAAGCGTACGTGATGTATGATAATGAATAACGTATGAAAAATACAACGCATGATGCATTGTGGTCAATGCAGTTAAAGTCGGCTGTTGCGGCTGTTTTAGCAGCATTTTGTAACGTGAGAGAGCCACGCTGCAGCTATATTTATTTATTTAGAAAACCAACAGCTCTTATGAATATACAATGTTAATAATTTATAAATGATTATAACACCCAATTATAGGTTTCCCTGTATAAATCTTAAATGGTATCTCCTACTCTTAATACATATCAAATAAGAACAAGGTGAAACTAGTAAACTATGACTAAGAGGTATGCGTGTGTGTGTGTGCGTGTGTGTGTGTGTGTGTGTGTGTGTGTGTGTGTGTGTGTGTGTGTGTGTGTGTGTGTGCGTGTGTGTGTGTGTGCGTGTGTGTGTGTGTGTGTGTGTGTGTGCGTGTGTTTGTTCGTGTAGGTATGGGTCTATAGAATATATCAATATTATTGGTATAGTTGTAGCACGAATGCGTCGGCTCGACCGGGGAAGGACCACGCTCTCACAGAATACCATACTGGGAAATAGCAGCATAATGCTGATATGTTACGCTGGTATTCTGTTTGTATGTGGTATTATGTTTCTTATAGTCACTGTAGAGAATCGAAGATCCTTTTTAGTGGAAACGCATCATTCCATATTAGTCCGCAAGGATGGCAACGCATCTGCATTATGATTCTTAATCGAGCATTTACACTCACACATTATCCACTTACCATCAGGTGGACTGTGTGCTCGTTTGTCACCCTTATTCTATTAAAAATACACATTTTTTGTGCAATAAAAGCTTTATCAAGTGCAGAGCAATAAAATTAAAATCACGTAGCGGATAACCGTCTCAATATATGCAAGATATGTCATAATTGCAGTTTGTTTTGATACGGCATATAATATCAACAGGTTTAATTTATTACTACTTTACAAACTTGTTCTTTCCACTTGAATTCTTTGTCGACCATTATACTCAAGGATTTTTTTTATTGAATATGGATGACAAACGAGCACACAGTCCACGTGATGGTAAGTGAATGCTGTGGCACTAAGGTCCGTACTAATAAACGTTACTCAATGACGAACTCAAGTGCGTAATCATTTGATATCAGCGTAACCCTCATTACGATATCATCATCTCAAGATCGTTGCAAATTAATAAACACATAAAAACCACGTCAGCTCGACCGGGGAAGGACCACACTCTTACAAAATACCAGCGTCAAATAGCAGCATAACGCTGCTGTGTTTCGTATGGTGAGTGTAGAGAACCGGAGACCCTTTTTACTGGTAAACGAGGCATTCCATTTTAGTCCTCACGGGTGACAACGCAACTTTGATTTCGATTCGTAACAATTTTGATTTTGATATCGCGGGAAATTTAATTTATACAAAAGTGGAAAGCGTTAAGCTGCTATTTGACGCTGGTATTCTGTGAGAGCGTGGTCCTTCCCCGGTCGAGCCGACCCATTCGTGCTACAACTATACCTATTACTAATATAGCTGCAACATGGGTCTACCACGTAAAATATATTTGTTATTTTATAAAAATATGGGATAAAATACAATGGCCACTTAGTCAAAGTGACGTATGAGCTTAGTGATCTCCACACATTTTTTCAAAGCATGGGTAAAGCTTGACACCGCTACTCTCATTTCTTACTCCACATTGATATTTGAGCGATATTTGTTCTTTATTACAACTGTACATGAAAATCCGGTTTCATATAATTAAAATGTTGTAAAGGGAATGAGAATTCTTATGGCGGATGTACACCCTCGTCTCGTCGCCTCGCGTGCCAAGCGTCGCGTAGAGGTTCAACACGAGAGCACACCATGTACACACTCTTTGTATCACTTGAACTCTAGATGCCCACTGCGATGGACGTAGAAGAAACTGTCGCTGTGTTTTGCCTTTGCTATTTTTTAATTATAATTTTTTACACTTTTCCAATAAAAAGAAAATTAATAAGCCATGGTGGGTGGTTTCTATTCATTGTAATAGAACCATGTAACTTCCTAAATTGTATTTAACAATATTGAACCATTTTTTTGATAATTTTTATAATTATCAGAAAACAAACGAGTGTGTACAGGCGCGCTCTCGTTTTCATCGCGAGACTCATGAGAACCCTTTGACTCGAGCGCAAAACACCGACACGCTTCCGAGAGTGAACGAGGACCGCGAGACGCGACGCGTTGCGACGAGGGCACTATGTACACACTCGTACTCGGCCTGTCTCGTGGTGTCTCGACGAGCGTGTACAGCCGCCATTAGAGTTTTTAAACTTAAACCTAGGATATTCATTTTGGACGCGTTTTCAAGCGTAAGTACCTACCGGCGATTATGTACCCTTGACGCCCACGGGGGCTTCCCCAAGCCCTTCGCCCCTGGACCCATTTATGGGGGCCGGAAAAGGGCGTTGTCCGCCCTTCCCCTGCGCCCGGTGCACCTTCTGCAGCCGGGGAAGGGAGTAGAGAACTCCGTCTCCCGTTCCGCAGTTTCCTTCTGCGACATCACGTCCTCGCAGAAGGACACCACCGCGTCCCACGACTCTGCGCTACCGACTATCCTCCGCACTAAGGCCGGCAGCGACAGATCACCTCCTACTTCATTTGTGAGGACACGGCGCTACTCCTCCTAAGCTACACACTCGGCGAGCATATGTTGTGCCGTGTTCTCCCCAAAATGGACGCAGTGGTGGCACTGAGCGTCCGGCTCCCTGTCTATGCGGCACAGGTACTTGCCGAAGCAGCCGTGCCCCGACAGCACCTGCGTCACCCTAAAGGACAGGGAGCCGTGCCTTCTCCCGATCCAGTCGTCGAGTACTGGCCGGATCGCTTCGACGATAGCGTGGCCGGCGGTAGGACGCAGAAGCCTTTGGCGCCATTCCGCCACCAAGACCTGACGGAGCTCCTCTCGGCGCAGCGCAATCTGCCGCTGAACCGGCCTGGAGCCCCGTGCCCGCTCTTCCTCGTGCCATCATTATAATGACGCGAGTACACTCGCCTCTTCCCAGGGCGGGGATCCGGCCTGGACACAAGCCGCCTCGTAGGAAATCGTGCGATATCCGCGGAAGACTCTAACGGCCATCGCCCTTAGCGGTTTGCGCAGAATGGCGAGAGTGCTGGCCGTCATGTCCATCGCCCACACAGGGGCCCTATACAGGGCCATGGACCGCACGATTCCCACGTACAACCACCTACAGGCGGCGCTCGGGCCAACCAAGTTGGAAAGCAACGTTGAAAGCGCGCCCGCTGCACCCATCAGCTTGGACGCCAGCCGCCGGAAGTGGGGTCCGAATTCCCATCGGCTGTCGAGCATCAATCCCAGATACTTCATTGTGGACTCGACAGCTATCCAGGCCCCGCTGACCACGATGTGTGATGTGCTGACTTGTTTAAAGCCACCTCCAGGCCCAGGAGCCGGATGCGGTTCACCACTTGTGACACCGCAGCCGTGGCAACCAACGCTGGTTTCCTGTGCGAGCTCCCCCGGGCAGTGACGAGCGTGTCGTCCGCATAACACGTCAAGTCGGCGCCCGACGGGAGTTCACCTCTCAGCACCCAGTCGTAGCCGATGTTCCACAGGAGCGGTCTCAAGACCGATCCATGCAGCACCGCAGCACTGCTGCACCGCACGACATGACGCACTGACCAGCGCCGTCACGTCCCCAATACGTAACGCATCTCTCCTCAAGGTAAGCCCCTATTGTGCGGCGGAGGTAGGGAGGCACGCGATGGTAATTCAGCGCCTCCCGAATACAACTCTAGGGTAGGGTGTTGAAGGCGTTGGAGAAGACACCGCCAGCACCACCTCACCCCGGAATACTGTCTCCTCCGCCAGGGCCCTCACGTGCGTAATAGCGTCTATGGTGGAGTGCCCACGACGAAAACCCAACTGGTTCTCTTTCAGGTCCGGCCCCTCTCTGCACAAGTGGCTGACGAGGCGATCTGCGATGATACGCTCAAGAAGTTTGCCCGCCTCGTCGAACAGCACTATGGGCCGGTACGCGGACGGTGAGTCACACCGTTAACGCGAGGAGGTGATGAATGCTTTATGCATACCACGACAGCCGGCTGTCGTGGTTATGTGGTACTCACTGTGACTACCTAACCTAACCACCCTAAGTGTACCCACTAAACACCACCTGTGAGACTGGAATTGGCTTATGAGGCCTTTCTGCCGAATTGGAAGCGACCCTCTTTAGGGAAAAGGGGGCGTAGGTGGCAACGAGTCACTGAGGGGGAGCCTAGCTAAGGCAAATTAAGAAGAGTCGGTCTGAGCCGCCAGGAGGCAGTTTAGGTCGGTCGAAAGTTTGTTTGGCGGGTCCGAGAGAGAGTTTCTCGGTCTTCGGACTCGATAGCGAGAAGTGATTAGAGTGAGACTCTGACGCTTTGATGAAGTTCTCAGAGAGTGTTAAAGAGTACTCCCGCGTCGAGTTCTACACTAGTATTGGGACCTGGGAGCACACGGGGTGTGAAGCGACGGTCGGGTGCGGTGCACACCCGCCCGCTCCCTCAACCCCTGATTCCTTGGAGCTCGCGCGCGGACTATACATACCCTGTATACGCCCCTCCCCCCTCATGCCTACATCTTCGTACAATCAGATAGCCGTTGGGTGATCATCATTTTGTTGTCTATATTCCAGGCATTCCAAATAAATGGTTCGCTTTGTCTTTCGTATTGCGTATATCAAAGGATTACCATCGAGCTAGGATTGAGTTGGCAACTAGATGGAGTGACGACCTGGTAAGATATGCAGGAAGTCGATGGGTGCATGAGGCTCAAGACCGTGCTTTGTGGCATTCCTTGCGGGAGACCTATGTTCAGCAGTGGGCTTGTGAAGGGCTGTAAAAAATGAATGAACGGGATCTAGCTTCATCACCACTTGTTGGGTACATCCAATGGGCCAAACACTGGCTTATACTAAATAAAAACTTGTAGGGTTGTAGGGAGGATTTTCTACGCAGGTTGACACCCTTACCTTTCTTTTTACTGGTTTGTTTATTTTAAGTCTGACGTACACTTACCGTGCAGTGGCGGTGTAAGAATATCCACTACCCCAAATCGTTCCTTGGGTGTCGTAAGAGGCGACAGAGGGAAATATATAATATATGGGCAGCAGCTTCTTCCTTACAACGATTAAATATAAAAATTGCGGTTTCCCACGCGCTTGCCATGAGTGGCAACTATGTACCCTATGAGGCTATGGGGCACGCCTATATATTCAGCAGTGGACTAAGCTGTAATGTATGGATGTCTAGAAGATAATCTACCAGGCGCACATGACTCACTGAGACGTGAAATTTTCAAATCAACAGTAACATTACAACTATGGCAAATATCCCCCCTATGAGCTTTGAGGAAATCTATAAGGGAAGCCTATGTTCAGTAGTGGACTAGGCTGTAATGGATAAATGCAAGTATGGAAGATAATCTACCAGGAGCACATGACGCACTGAGAGGTGAAATTTTCAAATCAACAGTAACATTACAACTATGGCAAATATCCCTCCTATGAGCTATGAGGAAATCTATAAGGGAAGCCTTTGTTCAGCAGTAGACTAGGCTGTAATAGAATGTATGGAAGATAATCTACCAGGAGCACATGACTCACTCAGAGGTGAAATTTTCAAATCAACAGTAACATTACAACTATGGCAAATATCCCCCAATGAGGAAATCTATGGGGGTGGCCTATGTTCAGCAGTGGGCTTTAGTAGGCTATAACGGCAGCATAACGTAAGGAAGGCGGCATGACTGCATCTCGCCTATGAAAACGGCGTGCTTCGGTAGCATGGGGACTGGTATATAATTATATAATCTTTATTCAATATTGATTACTTTGTAATACTTATTAAAAATCATTTTATTTTAATTACCTCTGGTTCGGAAATTGCCAGAAAAACCGGCAAAACTCCACAGGGATTACATTAGACCTATATATCTTTTAATGATTTTGTATTATTTTTTTATACGAATTATATTAGAACTAGTATGGTAGCGATCACTTAATTAACAGGGGCCATTTTCATTTATGAATGCATTAGCATTACAAAAATCTTTTTTTGCACAATATTTTAATAAAACTTTTAAACTTGTTTATTGACAAACTTTGTACATTATCTGTGATTTCGTTGTGTAAGCGTATACATTGCCTCATAAATTAATTACTAATATTGTGGAGTCTGATATTACAACTGGTATTACAAGCTTATGCTTGTACCTAGTGTTTAAAGGTTTAGATTTGTTTAGTTAGGTTTAGATATCTACCGGTTGGCATTTCCAGTTGAATTTTTTGCATGCCTTAAGCGGATAGCGCGTAGGTATGTTCTAATAGCGCCTAAAAATCAAGATTCCAACGTTTTGTCGCATAAAATTGTATTTAACAATCTTAATGAAAAGCACATTGTCAGAAAAATACATGTTTGTTGAACTTATTAATATTTTTTAAATCGATTTATTACTATTATCGATTTATTACTGGTTTTTGTGGCTTATGGTGTAAATTGATCAAGTCCGCATGGAGTGGTAAACACGATAACTTTTGAAAATATCAATTGTTTTATCTATCTATTATAAATCTATTTTTTTAATCTTTTCATCTATCATGTGGGAAGACATGGAATGTAAATGACATGTATAATTTTCTTTGGTTTAGTTATAATTAATTTTTTTGGCGTAGAAATCCAGAAATTTTCGCTGTTTTGCAGGCTTGTAATAATTTATTTTACTAAATAGACTGCCTCACTCACTCACTTCAGTAGTGTATAATTTCTTTGCTTCGGCGATATACAGCCGCAGTCGTGAGTGGATACTGTATCGGTTGTTCGCAGCGGCTCAAAAAGATTGCTGTACAAATACAAAATATTCGAAAACCCAAATTTCATATATACTTTATTATTATAATAATCAGAGATTCTTATTACAATATTTTAAAAGCACAGAATAATTAATAATAGTAGTACGTACTAAAAGTAAGTACGTATATATATATACGTATATTTAAGTATATTTATTCTTAAATACGGCTTGCACTTTATGGAGTGACCTGAATGATGATATGATGATCATATCAAGAGATACTCCATTGAAGATTGAAGTGTGAAGACTCCCCTCTCTGTATATAGTTTATTAGTGCCGCATTTACAAATATTTGAATACAGTATAGTCTACAGTACCATCTTTCTTTTAAGCAGTCCCTAGAGTAGTAATTAGTCAGTCAACCAGTTTTATACATTAAATTCATACAGTCCACTACAGTCCCTAATACAGGCATTCCATCTTAGTCCTCACGGGTGACAACGCATCTGCATTTTTTGATTCTTTGTTGAGTATAGATGTGGATGTCTATCGATCACAGCAACCACTTACCATCAGGTGGACTTTGTGCTCGTTTGTCACACTATCCTAAAAAAAAAATTTTTCTTTTTTATAGGGCCAACAAACGAGTACACAGTACGGCTGATGGAAAGCGGTTGTTGTGGCCACAGAAAACAAAGCAGCACTAAGCTGCTATTTAAAGTGTAGACCTTCCCTGGTCGAGCTGATGCATTCGTTCTATAATTAATATAGCTGCAGCATCGTTCTACAACGTGTAAATGAGTGTAGAGAACTCCATTTCCAGTAAAAAGGGTCCATCTTAGTTCTCAAGGGTCGCATCTGAGTTTTAATTCTTAATTTTTTTTTTGCGCGTAATGCAAGGCCTGTACCCTCCGGAAGCGGTGGAGGGAGGTGGTGAATGCTCTAAGCATACGACGGCAGCCGGCTGCGGTCGTATGCTTAGAGTGGTTATGTGGGACACACTTTAAAGAAGTGCCTACCCACTAAACACCACTTGTGGGACTGGCATTGGCCTGTATGGCCTTTCTGCCGAATCGGAAGGAACCCTATTTAGGGAAAATGGGGCGCATTCTTAATCTGGGATAGATGTAGATATCTATGGGGCACAGCGTCCACTTACCATCAGGTGGACTGTGTGCTCGTGTGTCACCATTATCCTATAAAAAGGGATAATTAATTATATTCCTGTCGGGTATTTTTAACTTTCATTTAAACAACAGAGCCACAATACATAGACCTACATCTGGCCATGCATAGATAATATATAGTTATTTATAGATGCCGAATGTAAATGTTCTTATTTTACTATCAACTTGTCTCATGTATCGTTCTAGTATTATTTCATTACGCTCTTCGTCGTGTAGAGTAGAGACGTACCGGTTTTGAAGTCATTTAATAATTTCTGATCGTCTTCAGTGTTGTTATGTGAAGTCTATATGGGTAAGTATTTTGTTTGGCTTTTGAAATGACCGAATATAATTATATTATCTATACATACATACACTATTATCTATACATAGGGTGGAGATAACGACCCTATCTTTTTCGAGTTTGTATTATTAACAACTTTTTTATGCATCTCAGTAGAATCTGGGACAATATTGCTTGAAGGTTATCGACAGCCCCTCATTCTGAACATGGCCTACAGATGCAGATGCGTTATGAACACATCATTGGTGCTTGTATAGATTATTAATTCTTAATTAATAGCTGCCCTTAAAGTGTTTTTACTTAACTTTATTTTTTAACTAAAAAAATATACTTTCGTGATGTACAGTTTTCGCACTTGCGTTTTATTTCTTTGCATAAAAATCTGAAATCTCATTTAAAGTCAATGTTTATATAAAATAAATGGTAGATTATTAAATAAAGTTTTCTTGGATATATGTATATGTTATGAACCAAGTGATTAATTGGACATTATTCATAATGTCCGGGCAATATGAATAATGCCCAATATGATTAGGCAATGTGATAAAAACTATACGTGATAATATTAAAATTGACCGGGCTTAATGAATAAAGCCCGTTACTTATTGGGCAGATGAAAAGATGGAAGTGTCTTTTCATACGATAATCGAACGATATTTTTTATCTATACAAATAAGTAAAATTGAAGTGTCTGTTTGTGATGTCAAAATAACAGCTTTTTACTAAATTAATATGAAAGTATACTACTAATACTAATAACATACTAATAACAAAAAACATTTTTTAAAATTTTCGTCTGCCTGTTTGTTCCGGCTAATCTCCGAAACCGCTGGACCGATTTTGACGTGACTTTCACAGGCAGATAGCTGATGTTATAAGGAGTAACGTAGGATACTTTTGTTTTAGAAAAATAACTAGGGTTCCGCGCAAAAAATTAAAGCCCATGAAATCGCGGACGAAGTCGTGAGGCACAGCTAGTTTATTTATAAGATTACCGTATGATGTATATATTTTTAATTTTAGTTTTAAATTTGATATTTTAAATTTAAGTATTAAATTTTAAATTTAAGTTTAGTTGTTATATATTAACCCGAGTGGATACAATGTTCGTGTCCAGGTCGAATATAAAAGAAAGATTGAACGCTCAAGACCTGTTTACCAATCCGTCAAATAATTTATCATTGATTTTAAAACATGTGATTTTATTTTTATTTTGTACTAATAAAATAATCATTGTCAAGTTTCTAGCTTCTTGGGAAGTGCTCGAAATTTGACAAACAAGAAAGTTCCTTAATAAAAACGCGGTAATAATATACGTAGTGTCAGTCCCGTTAGTAGGCAGAGTCGAAACAGCTACTCGATCCACGTACAGCCAAAAAATATGCGTATAGATGGAAACGTATAACTAAACTGAAGTGACAATGGGCCGGCCATATAGCCCAAAGAACCGACAAACGATGGGGAAGAAAGGTTCTCGAGTGGCAGTCTCGTGCCGGAAAACGAAGTATAGGGCGAGATGTTAAGACATGAATGACCCGTTAAGACATGTCTCTTTTGGTTGCGCTCGCTTCTTCATTTCATAGAGTTTTTCTAAAGAAATTTTCACATTAAAAACTTGACAATTTCTTACGAAAACTCCAATAAGGTTTTACTTAAAATATTAACAAAACCCCAGTAAATTTTGATACAGGACCAAGTAGGACTGTAGCTAGTTAAAAGAGATTAAAGAACCGACGATATAAGTTATCAATCTGGCAAGATTTTTGAGGAATGAAGTAACTTATCGGACATCTCCATTCCACTTTTTATCTTGCAATGAAAGAAATATCATTTTATTTCAAATGACACTTCATTTTAATAGACGCTAATAATTCATTAATTTGTATTTGTTAACCAATAATAAGCCGTCTAGTGGCGGTGTAAGAATACCCACTAACCCATATCTTCCCATGGGTGTCATAAGAGGCGACAGTGGGAAAAAGGCAGGAGATGGGCAGCAGCATCTTCCTGATAACAACAAACTTACAATAAAAAAACTGCAGTTGCCAACCCGCTCGCCAAGCGTGGCAACTATGGCAAATACCACCCGATGATGAGAGTAAAAAAGAGACGGCCCCCAGTCCCCGGCGGCCCCGCTATTCCTGGCTACGGTGTCGACTATGGTAACGGCGGGGCAGGGGGTGCTAAGAATCTCCGGTGGAGGTTCGGTTGCCACCTAAGACGACTCGACCTGGTAACATACAAGCACGCACCCTGAGGTCTGACGACAAGATCGTGAAGCTGGAAGAAGAGATAGACAAGTTACGCGGGTATATTATAGGATTATCCGAGGTCCGAAGAGAAGGGGAGTACATGGTAATCCTCGAATCCCGCAACTTGCTCTATCACCTGGAGGGAGACCATCTGTCCCAATGAGTTGCCGGATTTACCATCCACAAGTCTCTCGTTAACAACGTTGTAAAGTTTGAGAGTGTGTCGACGTGGGTTATACACCCTACCTTCTACTCAAAATCACCATACGGTATTGGCTGAAGGTCATACAGGTTTACGCACCAACCTCGGCACACCCCGATGAGGAGGTGGAGGAAATGTATGAGGATATCTCTAGAGCCATGCATTCCTTCAAAACCCACTATACGTTGTTAATGGGAGACTTCAATGCAAAACTAGGCACAAGAGAGAACGGTGAGCTGAAAGTAGGGAAATTTGGAATAGGGCAATGGAACCCGAGGGGCCAGCAGATGGTCGACTTCACGGAGAAAGAGGGACTCTTTATGATGAACTCTTTCTTCCAGAAGCGGCCCCACAGGAAGTGGACCCACAGGAAGTGGACCTGGTCGAGCCCCGAAGGTTCGACAAAAAATGAGATTTACTTCATTATGATGACCAGACGACAACTGTTCAGTGATGTCTCCGTGATCGCGAGGGTGAAAACTGGTAGCGATCACCGAATGGTTAGAGGCACACTGAACCTAAACGTTAAGTTGGAGAGGTCTCGTCTAATGAAATCCACGCTCCGTTCCCCTCGTGCTCTAGTACAAAGTCCCGAAACCTTTCAGCTCGAGATACAAAACTGTTTTCAGTGTCTAGAAGACTGCAATGAAGTGGACGATATGAATGACAAGCTCGTGGAAACTGTCCATGCGGTCGGAGCTAAGTTCTGCAAGACCCGCCGTAGAAGAACACAAAAACTCTCCGATCACACTATTATTCTCATGGCTGTTAGACGGGAGATGAAGCTACAGTCTTCAACAGATTTGACAGCATTCAGGCAACTGAACAGACAGATCTCCAAATGCAGGCGGCGGGACTAACACAACTTCAATACAGTTTGTATTGAAGAAGCGATCGAGCGGAACTAAGGCTCCAAAGTCTTTGCCAGAGATCTGTCTGCCAGAAAGAGCCACCTGTCAAAGCTGAAGACAGAATGTGGTAGTATCGTATCCGGGACACTTAAGATTTTGAGTGAGATTGAGAGGTTCTATGAGCAGCTGTACACGTCATCGTTGGAGCTACACGCAAGTGTGAGTAACGATTCAAGAGCGAGTCTTATCCGACACTATTCCGAAGACATCCTGGATGTCAGTTTGAGCGAGAATAGAATGGCTCTCCAGCACTTTAAAAACCGTAGGGCCCCAGGTGAGGATGGAATTACAGCGGAGCTTTTGAAAGCGGGTGGAAAACCGGTACTTGAAGTCCTTCAGAAGCTCTTTAATTTCGTCCTCCATGGTGGCACTACTCCGGATGCGTGGAGCAGAAGTGCGGTGGTCTTGTTCTTCAAGAAAGGTGCCAACGCTCTCTTGAAGAACTACAAACCGATTTCCCTTCTGAGTCGCGTCTATGTGCTGTTTTGGAGAGTCATTACGAATCGTCTCGCACGCAGACTTGACGACTTCCAGCCTCCCGAAGAAGCTGGTTTCCGAAAAGGCTTTAGTACGATAGACCACATACACACCCTTCGGCAAATTGTACAGAAGACAGAGGAGTGCAATCTGCCACTTTGCTTTGCGTATGTGGACTATGAGATAGCCTTTGATTCCGTCGAAATTTGGGCGGTGCTGCAGTCCCTTCAGCGGTGCCCAGTTGGCTGTCGGTATATCGAAGTGCTAAAGTGTTTGTACAGTAGGGCTCTGTTTCGTATTCTGTACTCGGATAGTCATCGTAGACTATTCGAGTACAGAATCAGTGTACGAAACCTATCCAACTGCAGAGAGGTGTAAGACAGGGTTATGTTATATCCCCAAAACTCTTCACCGCTGCATTGGAAAACGATTTCAAACTACTGGACTGGAAAGGACGCGGTATTAACATCAATGGCGAGTACATCACTCACCTTCGATTTGCCGACGATATAGTCCTTATGGCAGAATCGCTGTAGAACCTAAGCACTATGCTCAATGACCTCAATAGTGTCTTCCAACGGATAGGTCTTAAGATGAATATGGACAAAACAAAAACCATGTTTAACGTCCATGTCACACCTATGCCGGTAGTTGTTGGGAGCACTAAGCTCGTAGTTGTTGACGAGTATGTTTACCTGGGACAAATAGTCCGAATAGGTAAGTCCAACTTCGACCGGGAGGTCAATCGACGGATTCAACTCGGCTGGGCAGCGTTCGGGAAATTACGGCACATCTTCTCTTCATGTAAACCTCAAAACTCGAAAACTAGACTATACAACCAGTGCGTGTTGCCAGTGATGACCTATGGAACTGAGAGGTGGTCCTTCACTGCTGGCGGTATGAGGAAGCTCAAGGTCGCTCAGCGAGCTATAGAGCGGGCTATGTTAGGCGTTTCTCTGCGTAATAAACTTCGAAATGAGGATATCCGCAGTAGAACCAGAGTAACCGACCTAGCCTAACGGATGAGTAAGCTGAAGTGGCAGTGGGCCGGCCATATAGCTTGAAGAACCGACAACCGATGGGGAAGAAAGGTTCTCGAGTGGCAGAATCGTACCGGTAGGCGAAGTATAGGGCGACCCCCCACTAGATGGAGTAACGACGATGGGTAAGACATGCAGGAAGTCGATGGATGAAAGGGGCTCAGGACCGTGCTTTATGGCATTCCTTGGGGGAGGCCTATTATCAGCAGTGGAATTGTGAAAGGCTGCAATGATCATGATGATGATGAATCAATAATATAATGGGTGGGCTCAAAAAAAATTTATCTTTTGAAAAAAAATCGCGGCCAACTGTTTACTCGTACCCCTAAATTTTAGTACTTTTAAGTCTCTTTTTTATAGAATTTTATTTGTTACATTAAAATGAAGACCTCAAAAAAAGATAGTTGCAAATGGAATCCACAAATCTTCAATTAACGCAATATTTATTTTATGAAACCTAAAACTTTTTTTTTGCTCCATACAAAACTTAAATGTCACAAGACTGTCCGCCGAAAATGTGTGTTACATAATTTCCCGTGTGTTGTAAGATTTTGTGTGTTACTCTTTCTAGAGCGTTATGGTACAAATTTTGTGAGCCCCATCCTAATACGTTTATCAATAATAATATACTACGAAAGGAACTTCGTTCGAACCGAGTGTTCCACGACACTCACGCGTGTATTTCTAAGTATTATCACGGACAGAGCCCTTGAGCCAGTTCCTTCCTCCCAGCTTATCGCTTGCTCATACAATAAGACGAGGAAGTATATTACAGTTCGAATCGAAGCATTTTATTTTGTCAATAGCGGGTTTTAAAACTATTCAATTTTAGAGCAACACTGGAGCTATTTTATTTTTATTTTATAAAAACGTTACCCCCACTCTAGGATTTTCTCCTGTATCGCGGAGGCAGTTTACAAACACAAATTGCACAAGGACAAACATCCAAACCGGGAACAATTATTTGTGAGCCATACAAATACTTGTTCCGTGCGGGATTCGAACCCGCGGCTCCAAGCGTTGCAAATCATTGCTAAGCCACTACGCCACGGAGCCGTCTATACCATGTTATGGCTATACCACGATTTTTTTAGTATTCTAAGCCAGTGCTTGACTACCATCCTACCTGATAGTAAGCGGTGATGCAGCCGATGATGCTGAAGTTTTCTGACTTAGCTTAGATGATTTTTACATGCCATGCTGCAGCTATATCATTGGTATAATTCTAGCACGAATGGGTCGGTTCGACCGGGAAAGGACCACGCTCTCACAGAATACCAGCGTAAAATAGCAGCTTAACGCTGCTGTGTTTCGTATGGTGAGTGTAGAGAACCGGAGACCCTTTTTGCTACATACGAGGCATTCCATCTTAGTCCTCACGGCTGACAATGCATCTACATTTTGATTCGTAAACGAGGATAGATTTAGATGTCTATGGGCCACAGTAATCACTTACCATCAGAATAACTGAAATGTACCCGCTTACAAGTGTTACGACTTCTATAATTATTTATGTGGGTCTGGGTTTGTACCAGTTTAGACTAGACTTAGTCTAAACTGGTACAAACCCAGACCCACATCTAGAGTTTAGACTAGTTTACTTTAGCTATTTCCATAGCATAATGTCGTATGGTATTTTGCTATGGGGACACGCAGCTGACACTGAAATTATATTTGTTTTACAGAAGAGGGCCATAAGAGCAATTTATGATTTAAAGCCTAATGAGTCGCTGCGACAAAAATTTAAGGAAATTAATATATTAACCTTGGCCTCTCAATACATTTATGAAAATGTAATGTACGTACACAAAAGATACACATTAGTGATATTCACTCTGTAAATACTAGGAACAGACACAAGCTAGTAGTACTAGTTACTCGACTCCATCGAGTTAGTAATTCATTCTTGGAACGATGTAGACGCTTTTACAACAAAATTCCAGAAATTATACAAAATTTGACCTGCTCAAAGTTCAAAAACTTTATTAAACTATGTTTGTATAAGAAGGGTTATTATGATATTAAAGAATTTATAGATGATAATAACCCCTTCTAATTTGTTGTGTTGTTAATTCGTGAAACATTCATGATTGTAAGATGTTATTTAAAAAAAGTCCCGCTGGGTTACTTGCTGGTTCTTCCTTGCTTGGTAATTAAACAAAAGTATGATTTTCAATAAGTATTATTTATAATCTATATTGAATAAAAAAAGTTTCTATTTCTGTTTTTGTTTAGTATTGGACGATGAGAGTCTCAGGTGTGATAACACATCTGTCGCCACCTTTGTCTGAAGTGATTCAATTAAAATAATGTGGACTGGCCTACAACGCATGCACACCGCATGCGTTGTAGGAGCCACTGATTATGGTAAAACTTTATTGACTTGCTTTGCCCGCACCTACCTACTAATCCTGGCCATGTGGTATCCACTGTTGATTTTGTGTGCTTGGGATCTTTTTCCAGTAGTGTATCGGTTGTAACTGAGCCAAAAATAAAGGCAAGCAATCAAAATTGTAGTTTTTGAGTTATGAGAAAGTGACCATATTAACCGGATGGCCATATTACCCTCACGTACCATAACTTTTCTTTCAGGATCATGAAAATGAAGGTCGAAATCCTGATCATTTTAACAGTTGTATCGTTTGTGGTCACGGAAGAAGGTACGTATAGGTGTACGTTTTTAAATAATTTTGAAGTATATGACATATGTATATTTATGTTATAATACAAACTTACATTTGTTACCGTGTAGTGGCGGTATAAGAATACCCACTACCTCATATTATCATCCCGTGGGTGTCGTAAGAGACGACAGAGGAAAACAAATTAGGAGATGGGCAGCAGCGTCTTCCTTATAACGACTAAAAATAATTAAAAAATTGCGGTTGCCAAACTGCCTGCCAAGCGTGACAACTATGGCAAAATCCCCCCTGTAAAGCAATCTATGAGGGAGGCCAATGTTCAGCAGTGGACTTTAATGGGCTGTAATGGATGGATGTATAGAAGATAATCTACCATGAGCACATGACCCACTGAGAGGTGAAATTTTCAAATCAACAGTAACAATACAACTATATCAAATATCTCCCCTATGAGGCAATCTATGGGGGAGGCCTATGTTCAGCAGTGGACTTTAATGGGCTGTAATGGATGGATGTATAGAAGATAATCTACCAGGAGCACATGACCCACTGAGAGGTGAAATTTTCAAATCAACAGTAACAATACAACTATATCAAATATCTCCCCTATGAGGCAATCTATGGGGTAGGCCTATGTTCAGCAGTGGACTTTAATGGGCTGTAACGGTAACAGTTATAATACAAAATGGAAGCTTTAATTTTGAAACAAGAATATATTTTAGAGCATTTAATATCCAATCTAAAGTCTTTTCAACCTATGAAAAGACGCCGAAAAAAAGTTTGACTCAATCATATGTGAAATTGAGACTTGAGAATTTAAATGAGTAGAGGTTTCACAGAGGTACTATTTAAAATTGTTGAAAACATAGAGCGAGGAGATAAAATAAGTGGAAAGTTTTACGAGTGCTATGTATACGGCAGTTGCAGACATTTATACAGACTTACAGACATTCACGTATGTAATATTAAAGCTGATTGTGAACTATAAGTTGATTTATAGGTGACCTCTGCACAAAAAATGGGAAACGCGGAACCTGTAAGATATTCAACGACTGCAAGCCGGCCATGGATGAATTCAAAAAGTATAAGACGAATCCAAAGGCAAGTATTTTTATCAAACTACTAAAGAACGTAGGTAATAATGATTTTGATATATTTACGCATAGGTAATAATTTGGGCGAGGCTACAGTCTCTTCAACGAAGCCAAGTTGACTGTCGGTATATCGAAGTGCTGAAGTGTTTGTACAATAGGGCTACAATGGCTATCCGAGTACAGAACCATTGTACGAAACTTATCCAACTGGAGAAAGGTGTAAGATAGGGTGACGTTATATCCCCGAAATCCTTCACCGCTGCATTGTAAGACGTTATATATATATATATAGTGTAAGTCCAACTTCGAACAAGAGGTCAATCGACGGATTCAACTCGGCTGGGCAGCGTTCGGGAAATTACGACGAATTATAATCTTCTCGTCAGATATACCTCAAAACTTAAAAACAAGTTTGTACAACCAGTGCGTGTTGCCAGTGATGACTTACGGATCTGAGACGTGGTCCTTCACTGCTGGCCGCATGAGGAAGCTCAAGGTCGCTCAGCGAGCTATGGAGAGGGCTATGCTCGGGGTTTCTCTGCGTAATAAACTTAGAAATGAGGATATCTGCAGAACCAGAGTAACCGACATAGCCCAACAGATTAGTAAGCAAAAGTGGCCATGGGCCAGACATACAGCTCGAAGAAACGACAACTGATGAGGAAGAAAGGTTCTCGAGTGGCAGCCTCATACCCGCTGGTGAAGTGTACGGCGAGCTCCCACAAGATGGAGTGACGACGTGGTGAGACATGCAAGAAGTCGATGAATGCGATGGGCTGAGGGTCGTGCTTTGTGGCATTTCATGTGGGAGACCTAGCAGTGGACTTGTAAAGTATTGTAATGATGATAGTGATATTTATGCGAATATACTACTACAATATCACCTGTATCACACAGGTGATATTATAAAATATTTCAAAACTATTGATATTAAGAAAACTATATCTATAGGGGATTTCTGTTAAATTTATTGCGTCTATAATAGATGCGATCGCACCCCAACTTGCCATTATTTTCAATGCTAGTATCGAATCTGGTGTGTTTCCTGATTTAATGAAACATAGTAAAGTAATACCTTTATTTAAATCTGGCAGTACATTGGACCCCGCTAATTTTAGACCTATTTCTGTTCTGCCAACGCTCAGTAAAGTTTTTGAAAAAAAATATTCTAGATCAAATGTTAAGTTTTTTTAATGAAAATAAATTATTACATAACAATCAGTTTGGATTTACAAGGGGTCGCTCAACAACTAATGCCGGTATTGAGCTAATCAAACACATTTTCTGTGCATGGGAAATTTCAGACGATGCTTTGGGTATATTTTGTGATCTTTCCAAGGCTTTCGACTGTGTTCACCATGAGACATTTATCAGGAAGCTACATCATTATGTTGTAAAAGACATTGCGCTCAAGCTTATTATGTCACATATAAATAATAGAACGCAAGCAGTTGTTATTAATGGATGCAGTTCTTCCGGATCGGTAGTATCTATGGGTGTTCCTCAGGGATCAGTTCTTGGTCCACCCATTCATGCTACAACTATACTGCTAATATAGCTGCAGGATGGCTCTACAACGTATTAAAATTGATTGTTAATACGTACGTAGTACTTTTAGTAGTAGACTGTAGTGGAAGCATGATGGTATGTCGACAACAATGACTGGAGACTAGTCGAGCGATTGTCCAATGGTGGAAGTAAGAAGGAGAAACTAAATTATGCAATTCCTGGACACACTCTCCGATATGTTTATGTTTAATCAGATTTAAGATCCTTGTAATAAAGTAAAATGATGTACCTTACCCAGTTTGAAGGGCACCTCCCGCCCGCTCTCAATTGCGTGCACTATTACCGTCACCACTTATTCCAAACTAGGGAATACACACCACCGTCGATAATATGTACGTGTTTCGCCTGTTCGCGAGGCAGGCATCATTAAGTAAAATAGATTCTGCGATGGCTGATCGCTAAGTAAGCGATTTAGCACGCCAAAAAGCCTCTTAGCACGCCTAGCAAATTTTTGTTTTTCTTTTTTCAATCGTTCAGGCATTTGTGAAATGAGTGAAATGAAAACGCATTCCACCACTGTGCGATTTATTAAGAGTTTTCTGTGTGTTTACCACAAGTAAAGGCCACTCGACTTTGTAAATTGCAAGAGCTACTAATCAGTTTGACTATGAGCTCATTCATCACCTAAATATCATATTTCAGATTTGCAGCTGGGAAGGTGATGAACCAATCGTATGCTGCGTTGAGAAAATTAAATACGTCGGCTCGAGCAACTTGGGCAGGTATGGCACATTAGAAGTTCGAGGAAACTTGTGGATAAATAAGTTCTCATTCCACCTGATGGTAAGTGGAGGCTGTGGCTCATAGACATCTAAATTTAACCTCGATTAAGAATGAAAATGTAGATGCGTTTTCACTCCTAAAGGACTAAGATAGAATGCCACATTTCCGGTAAAAAGGGTCTTCGGTTTTCCACAATCACCATACGAAACACAGGAGCATTGAACTGCTATTTTACGCTGGTGTTCCGTGAGAGCGTGTTTCGTACGCGGTCGAGCCGACCCATTCGTGCTACAACTATAATATAGCTGCAGCATGGCTCTTCCACGTGTAGACGTTTGACTTATTTTACCCGTTCGGGCGTACGAATATTAGAATGTATAGTTTTTAATATATTAATATGTTTTAATAATGTTTGATATTGTCATCATATCAATAAGATGCATATAACCATCCTAATTGATTAAACAGTTGTAATGTCAAAAAATTGTATCTTTAGCTTTTATTATCACCGTATTATCACCAGCAAGTAAAATACATTTCTCTTTATTAGTATTAGGAATATTATTAATGTACATTAAAAAGAGTAGAGGTCCCAAAATACTCCCTTGTGGCCGCATTTAGATAAACAAAATTACTTATAGCTTTAGTTTGTTTAGGATGTTGTAAGTATTTGTACGTGGTAGAGCCATGCTGCAGCTATATTATGGTTGTAGCACGAATAGGTCGGCTCAACCGGGGAAGGACCACGCTCTCACAGAAAACCAGCGTAAAATAGCAGCTTAACGCTGCTGTGTTTCGTATGGTGATTGTAGAGAACCGGAGAGCCTTTTTACTGGCAAAGAGGCATTCCATCTTAGTCCTCACGGGTGACAACTCATCTGCATCTTGAGGCTTTATTGAGGATAGATGTAGATGTCTATGGGTCACAGTAACCACTTATCATCAGGTGGACTATGTGCTCGTTTGTCACCCGATCCTATAAAAAAAAATCTTTTAATTCAGTCAAACGCTTTACCGCTGATGTCATATTTCTCAAATTTATTAAGTAACCCTTTACGATTAACATAATCAAAGGCTTTACTCATGTCAAAACTACAGCCACAGTACAGCTAGAGTTTTTGTTCAGAGAGTTCATTCTATAATGATCTTTATGAAGCAAAAACATGCGAGTGTTGATAAGTTTTTCTTTCGGAAACCCAAAATTTCACTCATCACTATCATCACCATCAACATACAGCCTATCAAAAGCCCACGTCCTTGTGTAAGGATATTTACTATAGTTGCTAAGTTTGGCAGGAGAGTTGGCAACCGCATTTTTTGTTTTCTAGATTTTATTAGGAAGATGTAGCTGTCCACCTCCTCTTTTGTTTCCCTCTGTCGCCTTTTACGACACCCACTCGACGATACGATCAGAAGGTTGCGTGTTTAAATCACGTCGGGGCCACCAATGTGGGTTTGCTAGCGTGGTAGCTCGATGAGAGTCATACGTGTTAACACCTAGCCAAACCAAACCCAACCGTAGTATTCAATAAACGTTATATATTTAAATGACAGAATACTAATATAGGATAGGATAAAGAATTATATGACTCCGATTGAAGTAATGTTGTTCGAGATAAAAAATAACTTTTATCTGACAACAATTTACAAGAATGAAATTAACTTCGCGTACAAGATAAGTTAATCTAGGTGAGAGGCGCGCGCGTGTTGTTCCTGAACTAGCTGCCGGTGGAATGCACGGTAGGCATGGGTATTAAATATCGATATATCGATATTATTTAAATAGAATATCGATATATATCGTCGATATTTTAAATAGCGATATATCTACATATCGATATTTATTTTAGAGTATCGAATTCGTATCAATTTCGATATATTTTAAAATATTGTATCGTTTTTTTCGTTGAGATATAATTTTGGACCTTATCTTTACATCATTCAAATGATGACGATATATTGATATATCGATATTTATCACGCGATATATATCGATACTGTTTCAAAATATAGATTCGATATATATCGATATATTTTTTCCCTTTGCCCATCCCTAATGCACGGTGGTCCGGCCCGCGCTCTGACGAAGGCGCGGTGCGTCGCATATCTAGGTCACTCCACTGTTTCGCTCCGGTGACGTGATGTTCGAGCGTGACTCAAGCTTCATAAGCGTAGCGGATTTATGTGGGGTCCAACAGAAGCGAGTTACGCCACAGGGTAGTGGATATTCCTATACCGCCACTACGCACTGTGTTATTACGCCTCTATATTATATTATTTTATTTTTCAGTAACAACAGACCAAACACTCGTTTACCGGAATGCGAACGGATTTCCAGGAAGCTGACTGCAGAGAAAACTGGCCAAAAAGCCTGGGATAGTAAGTATACAAATGAGCCTGAAGAAATCTCAGAACCCATCACCATTATTTCCCATCACGAATCCACTGCCGAACATGGGCGTCCACCATAGATAGTCGCGAATCATGTTCCTGATCATATGCCACCTGCATCCATCAACACCTTGAGTGTTTCATCAGGTTGTCACTTCATCGCGTGCAAGCCGTTTAACCTTGGTCTTGCCAGAACAAAGCTCAAGAATCTTTCTTCTCCAGTATTATTATTTTACGACATTTTATTGAATATTTCAGCGTTAACTGATAGTTTCTTGAAGAAGTAACGTCATCACGTGGGGGCAGTTTACTTAAATAAATATCACAAGGACAAACATCCAGACCGGGAACAATTACTTGTAGTTCTTATTCCGTGCTTGTAGTTCGTATTCGATTCGAATCCACGACCATTAGCGTCGCAACTCATTGCTACGCCGCTGTGTCACGGAGCCATTAAATGATGGTTTTATAGTCCAAAACTCCACTTTTGTCTCGTGGGTGCTGTAAGAGGCAACAGAGGGAAACTGAACCAGGAGATGGAGCAGCAGCATCTTTCCCAAAACAATTAAAATAAATATTTAAAACCTCGGTTGCTATACCACCCGCCAAGCATGGCATCTATTTTTTTTTTTAATGACAATAGCGTTACCTTCACACGAAAATTTTCTTCTATATCGTGGGGTCAGTTTATCATACATACATTTCACAAGGATAAAAATCCAAACAACTTTAAAAATATTCCCTTTTTGAGGCAATCTATCGGGAAGACCTATGTTCAGCAGTGGACTTTAGATAAGCTAATTAATTAATAAATTAATTGAATAACACATAAGCACATTGAGCTGTTGTGTTTCGTATGGTGAGTGTAGAGAACCGGAGACCCTTATTACTGGAAACGAGGCAGTCCATCTTCAAGAGTTAAAAATGTGCAAAAAACTCAAAGAGCGAACCACTTAGGCATTGTTTTGTGTATTAATATAGTACTAGAAACTGATAAGCATTTATTTAAAACAAACTTCTCAATTAAATGACAACGCGTAACAAAAAAATTCAGCTCAGTGTCAACTAGCGACATCTGGTGAGCGGAAGATTATCTGCTTATTGCTAGACGATGAATTTGCCGCGACGGTACCTGCTAACCATAGAACCGCTTATTTATTCGAACTCTTTTTAACAGAATGCATCGAGTACCAAGAAAAGCTGATCTATCCATGCAGGGAGAGCACCACGCCTTCCGGAGGTATGGTCCGATTGAACTTATGCAATAGAAAGCCAGAAGCCATAATAATTGGTGGCATGGACGCATATGAGGGGGAGTTTCCTCACATGGTAAGTGTTCAATCTGTAAAATCTGTAGAGACACGCTACAGCTATACTATGGTTGTAATTTGAATGGTTCGCAAGACCGATACAGGATCACGCTCTCACAGAATACTAAAATAGCAGTTTAATGCTGCTGTGTTTTGTATGGTGAGTGTAGAGAACCGAAGACCCTTTTTACTAGACTTTGCAAAGCATTTTTATTTTTAATCGAGGATGGAACGTGTGCTCGTTTCTCACTCTTATTCTATAAATACAACATTAATTAAAAATTTTCAAAGAATACGTATAACTACGTAGTAAAGCCATGCTGCAGCTATATTAATAGTATAGTTATCGGCTCGACTGGTGAATGATCACGCTCTCACAGAATGCCCACGTAAAACAGCAGCTTAACACTGCTGTGTTTCGTGTGGTGAGTGTAAAGAACCGGAGACCTAATATAATTGAAAATAGGCATTCTATCTTAGTCTTCACGGCTGACAACGAATGTATATATGTGAATATATATATGAGTAGATGTCTGTGGGCCACAGCAACCACTTACCATCAGGTGGACTGTGTGCTCGTTTGTCACCTCAATACTATAAAAAAATAATGTTACGAACTCATAATCTATCTGATGATATGTGTATGATATAGTCCATAGACATCTACATCTATCGATTAAGAATTGAAATGCAGATGCGTTGTCACCCCTGAGGACTAAGATGGAATGCTTCATATCCTGTAATGATATTAGGTGTTTACTACCTTTAGATCTAAACACAGCTGTGACAGAACTGCTGTTTGGCAGAAATGAGTAAGAGGGTGGTAGGTCTGACTGATTTCTAGAAAGAAAAGAAGTCGTATCACCTCGTATTCCTATACCATTCAACAGAATTAGATGAAACTTTGGCGAGTTCCCCAATTTCCCCCCCCCCCTCAAAAATTCAAAAATTAAAAATTCTTTTCAACTGACTTCAATGTAAATGTATTAAGAACAACTCAAAATCGATTGGTCGGACCTTTGATTAAATTCATTATATGGGACCACGTGAGAAGCACCAGCTTTCAAATAAAAAAAGAATCATCGAAATCGGTTCACCTAGTAAAAAGTTATGAGGTAACACACATAAAAAACATACAGTCGAATTGAGTACCGTCTCCTTTTTGCAGTCGGTAGAAAATAGAATTTATTGTAATAGAGAGTGGCAAACAATTACGTATCAAATAACTAATCTTCTCGGCCGCTCGCGGTCAACTAAAGGAGTAATGGAGAATTGACCGTAACTTAGTGCGCAAATCTTGTCTTGTAGAAATCTTTGATGCCAGTCATACGTGACTAAGGTAAAGGTTTCTGTTACACAATTTCCCTCATTTGTGAAATTAGTTTAAAAAAATGTTTATCGGTTTCTAGATACACAACACAATGCGTCAGTGGGTTGATCACTAACATTTTGTAGTTTTGTACAGTTTTTTTATTTTGTACTTTCAACTGTAGGTCTCTTGTGCTCCCGTTACTAACCCTGATAATTTAAATATTATGTATTTTAGCCACAAACCGAGCAAAGAATAACATAGTTTACAAAGAAATTTTGTAAGCAAAGTATGTTTTTTTTTATAGGATAGGGTGACAGATGAGCACACAGTCCACCTGATGGTAAATGGTTGCTGTGGCCCATAGACATCTACATTTATCCTCGGTTGCGAATCAAAATGCAGATGCGTTGTCACCCGTGAGGGCTAAGATGGAATGCCTCTTTTCCAGTAAAATGGGTCTCCGGTTCTCTACATAATACGAAACACTGCAGTGTTAAACTGCTCCGTAGAACTATTTGGTGATAAAAAATCATTCTATAATTATAAAATTTCTTTTAGGTGCTGTTAGGCTTTGCGAATGGCACATCAAACGACAACTGGGCTTGCGGTGGAATTTTAATTAGTGAGAGGTTCATATTAACCGCTGGGCACTGCACCTGGAGCAAAGACTAGTGAGTTGATGGTTTTTTTAATCACGTTTTTATTAGTATCGCCTGCATCTATCTATATTTGTTGTATTTTTTTAAACAAAAAAACTATCTATGTAACGGAATCTCCTAATGTAGTTTTTAACAACTTGTAGACGACTGATCGATTTGAAAATTTGCACTCGTATCAAGGACCGATGGCTATACAATAATTTAATTATTAAAATTAAATTATTGTATAACCATCGGTCTAAAATAATTTTATTCTAGTATCCTAACCAGGGTCAACAGAATAATTATCTCTAGAATCATCACAGCTCCTGATTAAAGAGTGTTCTGTAAATTTTCTTAAACTTTCATATTATTGTTTTGTTTGTTCGTGGTTGTTTGGTCGTGGAAAAAAAAGAGAACATCTCCCGCCGGGCAATGTTTACAACGTGGAATGCGTGCTGGCTGATCCTTGTGTTTTTTTTGCGCCCAATGCAAGGCTACCCTCCGAAAGCGAGGGAGGGAGGTGGTGAATGCTCATAGCATACCACGGCAGCGGGCCGTATGTGGGACTCACTTTGAAGAAATGCCTACCAACTAAACACCACCTGTGGGACTGGCATTGGCCTGTATGGCCTTTCTGCCAAATCGGCAGTGACCCTTTTTAGAGAAAAGGGGGCGCAGGCGGGATATTGAACAGAGCTGTTTTTATACAGGCTTATTTTGCAATATACGGCTAAAGGAGAGAAGGTTCAGAATTAGTAATATAGCCAAATGTTGAAAAAAAATTAATTCAAAAAAATCTCAATCATTCTGTCCTTTTTATCTTTTAAATTCAAAATGCATGTTGCATTATTTTAACTGATTTACTGCGCACGCACACATTTGTAAGGGTCGAGCGGTAGGCAAAAACGTTGTTACCCCATATAGGTCCCGCATTCAATTCAATTTTAATAAAACATTCACTTCTAAAATATTCTCCAGAAACAGTCGCAAGGCATTTAATGAGTGGGCGATAGTAGGAATTCATAAAAGCAGACGAAGGTTATATGACCTTTAACATGAAAGATCGTAATGATTTCTTATATTTACGCGAACACTACACATTTTTAAATAAAACTAATTTTACGGATTTTATTGCGTATATTAATTTATTTTTATATTCCCGACGTTTCGGGTGCTGGAAAGCGAGGGACTGAGGTGTTTGACGTCCTGCTGTCATAGTTAGCCCGGCTACTTTAGGTTTTTTAATATTAATTTTTGGTCCGATTTACGCAGAATGAGCTTACAGTATCTTGAAGTCTAGCAGTGGTATACTTGTCCACAAATCCTCGCAAAAGAACTTCGATTCCTCCCAAGGATGATTCGCGAGGCTATTGAAATTAAAAAACATCCTAATTTCAATAGAGAAGATGGATGGGTGCTGCCATCTGCTTGGTATCCCATAATTTATAAAATCAAATCCAAACCCAAGTATACCACTGCTAGACTTCAAGATACTGTAAGCTCATTCTGCGTAAATCGGACCAAAAATTAATATTGAAAAACTGAAGGTAGCCAGGCTAACTATGACAGCAGGACATCAAACACCTCAGTCCCCCATGACCACGGGTGCTGGAAAGCACCCGAAACGTCGGGAATATAAAAATAGATTAATATACGCGATAAAATCCGTAAAATTAGTTTAATTTAAAAATGAAAGATCGTATAATATTTCCGATGCTTTTAAAGAATATGTAAAAAATTATTCTAAAATGTTTAAAAGAGTTTGCTCCACAGCCAAATCGTTACATATTAGTAACAAAATTAAGACGGCTAAGAATAAAATTAAAATGACGTGGAGTATAATTAACAGCGAAACCGGTAAAGAGAAACCTCGTAACTCAAAGTATCAATTAAAAATTAATAATGAATTGACTAAATCAAATCAAGAAGTTGCAGCGGTGTTTGAGAAATATTTCACTGATGTTCCTATCTTGACAACAGAGTCATTAAATATTTCTCCAACTGTCGCCGAGTCATTACTTAAACAGAATGTTAATACCTGTTTAAAAGAATTTAGATTTGAAAAAGTATTACCGCATAATATTGTAAAATACTTCAAAACCATTGATGTAAAGAAAACCGTAGATTTGTGGGGGATTTCCGTTACAGTGATTGCGTCCATAATACATTTAATTGCACCTCATCTTGCTATTATTTTTAATACTTGTATCGATTCTGATGTGTTTCCTGATTTAATGAAGTATAGTAAAGTAATACCTTTATTTAAATCTGGTAGTACATTGGACCCCGCTAATTATAGACCTATTTCTGTACTACCAACTCTCAGTAAAATTTTTGGAAAAATAATTTTGGATCAATTGTTTTTTTTTAATACAAATAAATTACTTCATTAAAATCAATTTGGTTTTACAAGGGGTCGCTCGACGTCTGACGCCGGTGTTGAGCTTATGAAATATATTTTTAATGCCTGGGAGAATTCACAAGATGCCTTAGGTATTTTCTGTGACCTTTTCAAGGCCTTCGATTGTGTTCATCATGAGACATTAATCAGAAAACTACAACATTACGGTGTAAAAAATTTGGCGCTTAGACTTATTACTTCATATTTAAGTAACAGAACTAAAAAAGTCGTCATCAATGGTAAATGTTCCTCCGGATCGGTAGTATCAATGGGCATTCCTCAGGGCTCGATTCTTGGCCCATTTCTGTTCTTAATCTATATTAATGACTTACCTTATCTTGTAGGGGACAATCACGATATAGTATTATTTGCTGACGATACCTCTTTAATTTTCAAACTGAAACGGCAGTCAATTGAATATGACGATGTAAATAATGCTCTATCGAAACTAGTACATTGGTTTAATGCCAACAATTTGCTCTTAAACGGCAATAAGACAAAATGTATTAAATTTACCATACCTAATGTAAAACATTCGAAAACCAATGTGCTCTTAAATGGGGAGGAGTTGAGTCTTGTGGATACCACTGTTTTTTTCGGTATTACTATTGACGCGAAACTTCAATGGGGCCCCCATATATATAAATTAGCAAGCAGACTTAGTTCTGCAGCATATGCTGTAAGAAAGATTAGAAGTCTCACAGATGTTGAGACAGCTAGTTTAGTGTATTTTAGTTACTTTTATATCGTAATGTCTTATGAAATTTTGCTATGAGGTAATGCGAATGATATTGAAGCTATATTTGTTTTGCAAAAGAGAGCCGTACGGGCGATTTATAATCTAAATTGTAAAGAGTCCCTCAGAGAAAAATTTAAAGAAATAAACATATTAAATTTGGCATCGCAATATATTTATGAAAATGTAATGTATGTACATAAAAACATAAATAGCTTTAATAAGAATAAGGATGTTCATACCTTAAATACTAGGAACAAACATAAGCTTGTAATGCCAGTTACTAGACTCCACAGAATTAGTAATTTATTTATGGGGCAATGTATACGCTTTTACAACAAAATCCCAGAACATGTTCAAAGTTTGTCAATAAACAAGTTTAAAAGTTTTATTAAAGAAAAACTGTACAAAAAGGGTTATTATAATATCAAGGAATATATGAATGAAAATAACCCCTAGGAATAAGGTGATCGCCACCATGCTGGTTCTATGAAAATTCATTTAAAATTGTATAAACAAAATTATTGTTAAGTGAAATTATGTTTAAAAAAAAAGTCCCGCTAGGTTTCTTGCTGGTTCTTCCCAGGACAGAGGTATTTTCCGAACTAGTGGTAAATAAAATAATGACTTTCAATAAGTATTATGTAATAATCCATATTGAATAAAAATCATTCTATTCTATTCTATTCAATAAAAACAACAAAAAATTTCAATCAAAAAACACACATCTTAGGGGACATCACTTCAAATTAGCTAAAGCCGTATCACATAACTTTTTTAGCCAAAGAGTGATTGAAGCATGGAACAAGCTGCCATCAGAAGTGATATCTGCACAGACTGTTAATCAAATCAAGAACAGATTAAATAAACAACTGAATTATAAGAATTACACATTTGAAACTAGGTTACGGGCTTATATCAGTTGTTTCGACTGCTGGCCTGTTAAATAATAATAACAATAATAATAAACATTTGGGATAGTTTCAAATAAAAGTAAAAGCCTTATTTACTCGTATTTTAAAAACTGAAATAACGGTATATCATTATTTATATGTTTGAACTTAAGTTTAAAATTTGGCTACTCTGAAAAATAATGTGCAGTACTTCGGAACTTTGATAGCGTGATTTAGGCTTCGGCGCGTTTCGCTTATGGCGCGACTACAGCGCCGCCACAAAGCTATAATGGAAGCGGTTTAATTTTTACATAATAATTGTTGTAAATTTTTTATCTGGTATTAGGCCCATAGATTGACAAACAAAGCAAACTTAGTACTCCACACTTAACTAGTGTTGCGTAAATACCATTCCCATAACCGTTACAGTCTATAAAAGTCCACTGCTGAACATAGGCCTCCCCAATAGATTGCCTCATAGAGGGGATATTTGCCATAGTTGTAATGTTACTGTTGATTTGAAAATTTCACCTCTCAGAGGGTCATGTGCTCCTGGTAGATCATCTTCTATACCATTACAGCCTATTAAAGTCCACTGCTGAACATAGGCCGGGTTGGGTTTAGAATCAAGTCACCTGAATTTGAGGAGGGTGGGTCACTGTGGGGGGGGGGGATCAAGGGGGCTTATCTCAAGCGCACCCATGCAATTTTAACTCCGGAGCTGCATCGAAATATTTAATATAAATTTGTAATAATATTCATTAAAAAAATAAAATAATACCTGAAACGGAACTTTTGAAATTGACAGCAATCAGTAACAGATATATTCGACCAAAGAGTATTATAATCACTGCGTTTATACTCGACTTCGCGACTCATGTCATAAGCGTCATTCCCTTGCTTCCGAGTTTACGTGAATGTGCTCCTTATTGTTATTGTCTGCCTCCTGTTTTTGGACGACTTCTCTATCCCTCTGGAGACCGATTACTTGCTGTTTTACGACGTTTTTGGAAATGGTGGAAGTTAATATTTTGGTGTTTTAATTGGTGCAAGAGCGAGCGAAGCGAGCTCGGGAGTTGGGGTACCCCGACTCGGAGAGGTTAGGTTAGAAGGGGCTGTCGAGTGAGCGAGCAAAGCGAGCGAACAGACCCCTCCATCCCCTTCGTGGTTATTTTTTTATAAACCATCCAGAAAAAGGAGCCCGTCGACCGGGCTTCCCTCGACTGCGCCATGTTGAGTGGCGTTGGGCTACCCTCCTCCAACTCTCTGGCCCCACAAATCAGGTTGATGTTGTCAAAAACATTAAGAAAACATAACCTCAAAATGAGATTTTTAAAATTTTATAAAAAAAACTAAACACGTCCGGCAGGAAATGGAAGGGGGGGGGGGTGACTCTACAACTCCCCTGCTACAACAATTGTGTGTTGGTTTGAATGACCAACTGCTGGTTCAGAGTTATTAATAGGTACTTCAGGTGCTAATTACGATGTCAAGGAATGCATGTGCACTCACCTGGACATCTGCTAATCTGCCTCGTGTCCCAAGAGCTGCGGTCACGTTGGTTGAACGCCGGCTGTTTTCACACATATAAACTTCACAGATTATCGCAAAACACCACCACCAATTCCAGTAGTGCCCCGAAACAAGGTTGTTAATGACGGGTTTACTCTTGTTGGTAAGAGACGTCGGTCGAGACTCGTTTGTAACCAGCGTGAGACCGCCAAAATAAACACAACAACAACTCTGCGTGTTGTGGAGCCAATCATATAGCTCTCTCCGTTTGGAAAAAAGTACTTCGGAAGAAGACGTCCTGCGTTTCGTGTAGGAACGAAGCTGATGCCGCATTGAGGATCCGATCTTTTCACATTTGGAGCGTTTGGAGTCTAATAGGTCAACGAACTTCAAATCTTAAGTACTCCAGGTTCCTGCAGAACACAAAGAGACTTTCCTCGCTCCCGATTTCTGGCCCTCTGGGGTAGTGTTTCGCCGATACAGGGACGCGCCAAAGAAGAAAATTCCCTAAATTGTGTTATGTCTATATTTTATATATATTTTTAGGTTAAGATATATATTGCTATGGGTCAGTGTTCTTAATTTTTAAGTCCGTGATACCTGAAATAAATTTATTGTATTGTATTGTAATTGTAGCGTTATAGCAAATATTTATATACTTTATTATATTCTTGTTTCTTGTATAGTTAAATATCCAAACCACACAAAGGCGGGAGTGATTAGGCGAGGCATATGTGATGCTGTTCTTTTCGTGACTTGCGAGCTTGTATTTTTAAAGATTTCGTTAGAAAACTGACAATAGTTCTTAGTTTTTTGGCTTACTTTAGAAACGTCTAATGTTTAACGCTGGTAGTCATCCATCCAGTCATCACAGCTGATAAAAGTCCACAGCTGAACATAGGTCTCCCCCATAGATTGCCTCATCGGTATTTGCCATAGTTGTAACGTTACCCTCTCAGTGGGTCATGTGCTCCTGGTAGATTATCTTCTGTACATCCATCCATTACAGCCTATTAAAGTCCACTGCTGAACATAGGCCTCCCCCATATATTGCCTCATAGGGGGGATATTTGCCATAGTTGTAATGTTACTGTTGATTTGAAAATTTCACCTCTCAGTGGGTCATGTGCTCCTGGTAGATTATCTTCTGTACATCCATCCATCCATTACAGCCTATTAAAGTCCACTGCTGAACATAGGCCTCCCCCATATATTGCCTCATAGGGGGGATATTTGCCATAGTTGTAATGTTACTGTTGATTTGAAAATTTCACCTCTCAGTGGGTCATGTGCTCCTGGTAGATTATCTTCTGTACATCCATCCATTACAGCCTATTAAAGTACACTGCTGAACATAGGCCTTCCCCATATATTGCCTCATAGGGGAAGATGTTTGCCATAGTTGTACTGTTGATTTGAAAATATAGTAATAGATACCTCTCAGTGGGTCATGTGCTTCTGGTAGATTATCTTCTGTATGATTATTATTCGTTTAAATTATCCTTCCCCAGCGGCCCGGTAACTGACGCAAAGGTGGGGATCCTGGCGCGATCAGCCGCTACAGATAGCACCAGGCATTACAAGATAAAACGTATCATCAAACATCCTAACTATAAATCGCCGAAAAAGTATAACGACATCGCTCTTTTGGAGACAGACAGAGAGTGGGTGATATTTTTTTAACTTTATAAAGGGTAAGGTAAAAATCAATGTTGCTTTCCGCAAAGCGAAATTTTCGACTTTTAATAAAATTTTAGTATGAGTCGCACAGGCCTAAAAAAGCCTTCAAAAGGGTATTCGATTCTCTGGATCAAAATATTCATGCATCGTCACCCTTGAGGACTACGATGGAATGCCTGAAAACGTGGCGGTATTGTGAGCGGACGGCCGTCCTCTATTTATTTTTAAAATTATAGCATGATACCTAAAAGCACCCTCACGAATCGGACAGGGTGTTATACATATTGTATATTATATTATCATATGATAACTTATATCAGCATGGGTTTTACTGAACATGGGTTCTCACCGCTCGGAATTTTCATGACAGAGAAGATCGTCTTAGTGCGGTTATGTATTTTATCATTTAATATATTAAAAAAAAAGTAAAGAAAATAGAGAAAAATAAAAATTTGGAAAATCCAAAAGTGCACACCTCGAACGCTCATGTAATATTTTGAATAATCAATTTACTTTTATTAATTACCGAAACACGTTTATTTATAGGATAGGGTGACAAACGAACACAAAGTCCACCTGATGGTATGTGGTTGCTGTGGCCCATAGACATCTACATCTATCCTCGTTTGCGAATCAAAATGCAGATGCGTTGTCACCCGTGAGGACTAAGATGGAATGCCTCTTTTCCAGTAAAAAGGGTATCCGGTTATCTACACTCACCATACAAAACACAGCAGCGTTAAGCTGCTATTTTACGCTGGTGTTCTGTGAGAGCGTGGTGCTTCACCGGTCGAAACGACCCATTCGTGCTACTGCTATACTACTAATATATGTGGCTGCAGCTTGGCTCCACCACGTATAATCACAGTATAAAGATTCAAAAAAAAAATAAAAAAAATATTAATGCGTTCATTAATATTTTTTTTTGTTTTTTTGGATGGTTTACAATAGTGAAATTCCTAAATTCCTAAGATTTAAAATATAAAGCTAATAAAAAAAAATCAAAGTGATAAGTTCAGTTTTTCGACATTGTTCACATCCATACCGATCGACTGACGTTCAAGTGAAATTATTTTCAATTAACTTTTTTTTTAATAATAATCGAAATAAATAATCTTATAACTACGTCAGAATTATTAATAGAAATCTCATTTTGCTATTGGTGAACTTTTTTTTATTATCTAACTGCAATATAAAGCTGGTGGCAGTGATTTATTGATTTGGTGACAATTGAGCAGAGATTTTTAAGGTGGGTTCCGCGGAAACTAAGGGTTCCGTGGAAAAGTCACTAGCGTTCAGAGAAATTACTTATTTTTGGTTTTTTAAATAATTACATAGTTAGGTACAAATATTATTTTGTAATAGTTCAAAATATGTGATGAGAAGTACCCATCACTGTTATGTACGTACCCCGTCACCACGGGGTGTTTGGTGAGTGTTCCATTACCTTAAAAGTTTGGGAACCCCTGCAATAGACCACTACATCTCCGCTTACGTTCGATGTGTGCAATAAAACAAAATAGGCTTGGGTAAGAAATATCGATATATATCGTTGGTATTTTTAATCGCGATATATCGATATTCGATATTTATTTACGAGTATGGAATTCGTATAAATTTCGATATATTTAAAAATGTTGTATAAATCGACAAAACATTAAGCAACAAAAGCAGCTACAAAAGCATGTATGTGCTGTTGTCGCTTTTTTTATCGTCGTCCAACCGTCAATAATAACATATTGGGCCTTATCCCTAGTACATCATGCAAAAAATGACGATATATCGATATATCCATATTTATCACGCGATATATATCGATATTATTTAAAAATATCGATACAATGTATGTTGATATTTTTTTCACTTGTGTATCCCTAAAACAAAACATTTTTAATAATAGTTTTTACCTTACCACCCGGTAACATCTGTGGTCCCATTGATATCCAGCTTGCCATTGTACAAGGTACTTAAAGTAAGCACTAACCCCCTTCTACGGCTGTCATGTAAGATACATTCATGAGACATTCCAGGATCGCGCTGGACCAGTACGCAGTACCAGCTTGCCTGCACAATGGGCATCTGGTGAACGACACCACTGCGACGGTGACCGGCTGGGGCACTACCGCCTTTAGAAGGAATAAAGTTTCCGATGTACTACAGAAGGTAAGGTCCTATAGGAGTTAAAATGGGACAACATGACAAGCACCAGCTGTCAAAAAAGAATCATCAAAATTGGTTCACACATAAAAATACAGTCGAGTCGAGAGCCTCCTCCTTTTCTTGAAAACGGTTGAAAATAAAACAAAGGCTCGGAGAGTCAGTTACACGCTGTTAGGCATTCTAGTGTAGTTCTCAGGAGCGGTTTTTACCACTGATTTGGAAAAATCCTCTGTCCTGGATAGAACAAGCAACAAACTCGTTGTACATTTAAATATGAAAACATTTAGATACAGCATGGTATGGCCGCTTGTGGTCGGGGAGTAGGAGCATTGTCAAAGACGCCGCTTTGCCGCAGCGAGTGTCAGTTAGAGGTAATAAAACTGTGCGTGTAAAAAAAATTGTAAGTGATAGACCGTGTTGCAGTTATATGGACAGCTTCGTGGCGCAGTGGCTTAGCAATTAGTTGCAGCGCTAAGGGCCGCGGGTTCGAATCCCGCACGGAACAAGTATTTGTATAGCCTACACATAATTGTTCTGGATCTGCATGTTTGTCCTTGTGCAATTCTATGTATGTGAACTGCCCCCGCGGCCCGGGAGAAAATCCTAGTGTGGCGTTCCGTGCCGCATCTTGAAGAGAAACTAAAACAAAAGTAGGGCAGCAGCGTCTCTCTAATAACACCTCACAATGATAAAAAACAGAGGCTGCCAAGTTTGGCAACTGTGGACTATGGACTGTAAGGATGATGATCGACATAAGCGTCTAATATTTTTTCAAAACTAACAGCGCCATCTTAAATGAAACTAAGTTTTACGTATTTTATTGTGTACTAGCTGTTCCCCGCGACTTCGCCCGCGCGTTATTTGGTTTTTTTTTTGCGCGGAACCCTAATTATTTTTCTGTAGGAAAAGTAGCTTAAGTTACTCCTTGTGACATCAGCTATCTGCTAGAGAAAATCCCGTCAAAATCGGTCCAGCTATTTCGGAGATTAGCCGGAACAAACAGACAGACATACAGACAGTCAGACAGACTGTCTGTATGTCTGTCTGTTTTTGTTGTTAGTACCGTATATAGTTTCATATGCATTTAGTAAAGAGCTGTAATTTTGACATTACAAACAGACACTTCAATTTTATTTATTTGTATAGATATTAAACTATTTTATATTCCCGAAATTTCGAGTACTTTATAGCACCCGTAATTACGAAGTGCTGAGCTGTTCAACATCCCAATGTCATAGTTAACCACGGCTACCTGCAGCTTAAAATTACTAATTAATTTTATTAATTATTTAGATATTAATTACAAATTTATTTTCATTTAGCGCTATCCTTTTCACCAACATTTAACTTTAGACTAAGCTTGCGATATTTTCAGGTTACTCTCCAGAAGTTCTCTGACGAGGAATGCTACAGATCTTACGCACCAGGTACTCCAGGAATGCGGCACATGAAGGACGGGTATAATAGCACCACGCAGATATGCTATGGCGACTGGCATGCTGCCAAGGACAGTTGCAATGTATGTATAATTTATATTACGTGGTAGTGGTAGAGCCACGCTGTAGTTATATTATGGTTGTAGCACGAATGGCTCGGCTCGGGATGGTCTACGCTCTCGCAGAATACCAGCGTGAAGTAGCAGTTCAACGCTGCTGTGTTTCATATGGTGAGTGTAGAGAACTGGAGACCTTTTTTTACTGAAAACGAGGCATTTCATCTTAGTCCTCACGTGTGACAACGTATCTCCAATTTGATTCGCAATCGAGGATGAGATGTAGGTTTCTATGGGCCACAGCATCCACTTACGATCTGTGTGCTCGTTTGTCACTCTCATCCTATAAAAACCCTGACTTCGCCTGGCCCTGCCCGGACAAACAAATAGACAAAAGTTTTAAAAATGGTTATTCATATCATAATGCCATGCAAATAACACCCACAGCTTAATAAAAGGTGGTTATTTCGATTTTACAGACAGACACTTCAATTGTATTTATATGTATAGACTAGCTGTTCCCCGCGACTTCGCCCGCGTGTTATTTTGGGTTTTAATTTTGTTGCGCGGAATCCTAATTATTTTTCTAATATATAAGTAGCCTAAGTTACTCCTTATAACATCAGCTGCAGCAGTGAAAGTCCCGTCAAAATCGATCCAGCCGTTTCGGAGATTAGCCGGAACAAACAGACAGATAAAAATGTTAAAAATCGTGTTTTTGTTATAAGTACCGTATATACTTTCATATGCATTTAGTAAAAAGCTGTTATTTTCACATTATAAACAGACACTTCAATTGTATTTATATGTATAGATTTATGGCGAGAAAGTAGTAGAAGTAAATTAAGACTACAATCTGTAATCCCACTGCTGGCGACCATAGCCAGAGGCTTTTACCAAGCAATGGGTTTGTGTGTCACAGAAGAGTCGTATTTCTGAAACGGAAATGTTATTTTGTTTCGCTGATAGCAGGTTTCCTCACGATGTTTTCCTTCACCATTTCAGATTCACTTAAAATTGCAATTCACAATTTCAGATACTGGCGGCTACGAAACCTGGGTTGCTCGCGTTAGTATATTTGCCATACTTTGAGAAAGTATGGCAAATATACTAAATATGTGAGTTTATAGCTAAAGAAAAAAAAACTACTGTATTAAATATTATATTCTAGTGGACTTATTGGTTACACGTGGTTATAATTGAGAAGTTGCGTTTTAAATAAAAGTTTATGGGTCTCTAGCGTATGTGAATACACAAAACAATTCCTCAGTGGTTTGCTTTTTATTTTTGTAAATATTTTGTACATTTTTTTAATTTTTTCTATTCGCCGTGTCGTCGATGCCCTCATTGTACAAGTTGTAAGTCAACGAAAAAAATATTTTATTAATGTATTTTTACTACCTTTGATCCCATCTGCAAAATTGCAAAAGAAAAATTATTTATCAAGCATTCAGAATTAAAAAATCAAAATAAATGGTAGATCACTTACACTGGTTTCGGGAAATCGACCGCTTTGGAATTCTGCCAAAGGTATATTCCGAAATGATTTTTCGTAATAAACTCCACATAAAATCGAGACGCTCAATTAGACCCCCTCTATTAAATTCAAAATACGTTATAATATACATATATATATATATATATATATATATATATAATAATTAAAAACTGTAAATGATAGATTTATATAAATATATACTTTGTGTGAGTACAAAAATAAAGATAATTACAGTAAAACTTGGTTACCCACTTAACCAAATTTTTAATATCTTCTCCCAGGGGGACAGTGGAGGCCCAGTCCAAGTGAAACATCCAGAAATATACTGCATGTATTCAGTGCTGGGAATAACGTCTTGGGGCAAGCAGTGTGGGTATCCTGGGCAGCCTGCTATTTACACGAGGGTGGCTGCGTACGTGCCCTGGATAGAGGGTATCGTGTGGCCTTGAAGTCTGCAGCAAGCAGTTCAGGAGGTCAAAATGAGATAATAAAAAAATGTACTATCATAGATTTGAAGTATTTTTAACACCCGACGTAAACACCCCTCGTGTTATAAGTTTGTAGTGTGTATCTGTCTGGCATCATAGCTCCTGAACGGATGAACCGATATTCATTATGTTTTTTTTTTGTTTGTTTGTAAGGTGACTTAACTCCATTAAGTTAATGGGTTAATTATTGACGTCTATTAAATGTTATTAAAATGTTTAATAAATTAATTTATCTTTATTTTATTTATGACTAGCTGTTCCTCGTGACTTCGCCCGCATGTAATTTAGGGTTATAATTATGTTGTACGAAATCCTAATTCTTTTTCTAAAATATAAGTAGCCTAAGTTACTCCTTATAACATCAGCTATCTGCCAGTGAAAGTCCCGTTGGAATCGGTCCAGCCGTTTCGGAGATTAGCCGGAACAAACAGATAGACAGACAAAAATTTAAAAAATAGTGTTTTTGTTATAAGTACCATATATACTTTCATATACATTTAGTAAAAAGCTGTTATTTCGATATTACAAACAGACACTTCAGTTTTATTTATATGTATAGATTTTATTTGTTGTAACCTGATTGTATTGTATTCGATTAGATTATAAATTTCACTTGTATGTGCTATCTATGTAAAAAAATGACATAGAGAAACATGTGTACATTAAGAATTGTACTTGTGAAATTCTTATCTTTCCATGTTTTGAGCAAATAAATCTAATAAATATATAAATAAATAAACTTATCATATAGCGGTAAAGTTGCTTGCATGTGTATCTGTTATCGATATTGATAAATAAATACGAATATAATAATCGTGTATCGAGGTATATCATAATACATTACGATATTCGTTATCGTAGTACATAATATTACGATACGTTGCGATATATACTTTTTAAATCTTGGTTCATAGCTTTTTTTTTTTAATGAAACACACGGATAAAAGAAATAGGCTGAAGGACGAGAACTTAATTTTTTTTAATTAAAAATAACCTGCCAATACTAAATTATAAATATAAAAATAAATTCAAATTAAATTATTTAAAAATATAAATGAGTATAGTAAAATTCATTTCTGTATAATTTATAATTGTGATTGTTGTCACTTGGTGAAATTCGATCTTAATTTTTTTGATTAGAATAAACACTTGGCAGATGATGGACAGCAGCATCTTTCTGATAAAAACTCAAAATAATAAATAAACTGCGGTTGCCAACCGGCCTGCCAAGCGTGGCAACTATAGCAAATATCCCCCCCCCCCCATGAGGCAATCTATGGGGGGCATTTGTTCAGCAGTGGACTTTAATAGACTGTAATGGATGGATGTATACAAGATAATCTACCAGGAGCACATGACCCACTGAGAGGTGAAATTTTCAAATCAACAGTAACATTACAACTATGGCAAATATCCTCTACGAGGCAATCTATGGGGGAGGCCTAGGTTCAGCAGTGGACTTTAATAGGCTATGACGGTAACGGTCATCATCATCATCATTACAGCCCTTCACAAGTCCACTGCTGAACATAGGCCTCTCCCGAAGAATGCCACAAAGCACGGTCCTGAGCCACCTGCATCCATCGACTTCCTGCATATCTTACCAGATCGTCACTCCATCTAGTGGGGGGACGCCCTACACTTCGCCTGCCGGTACGAGGCTGCCACTCGAGAACCTTTCTTACCCATCGGTTGTCGGTTCTTCGAGCTATATGGCCGGCCCATTGCCACTTCAACTTACTAATCCGTTGGGCTATGTCGGTAACTCTAGTTCTACTGCGGATATCCTCATTTCTGAGTTTATCACGCAGAGAAACTCCGAGCATAGCCCTCTCCTTAGCTCACACAGTCTCGTTTTCAAGTTTTGAGGTATACCTGACGAGAAGATGTGCCGTAATTTCCCGAACGCTGCCCAACCGAGTTGAATCCGTCGATTGACCTCTCGGTCGAAGTTGGACTTACCTAGTCGGACTATTTGTCCCAGGTAAACATACTCGTCAACAACTTCGAGCTTAGTGTTCCCAACAAATACCGGCATAGGTGTGACATGGACATTAAACATGATCTTTGTTTTGTCCATGTTCATCTTAAGACTTATCCGTTGGGAAACACTATTGAGGTCATTGAGCATAGTGCTTAGGTCCTCCAGCGATTCTGCCATAAGGACTATATCGTCGGCAAATCGAAGGTGAGTGATGTACTCGCCATGGATGTTGATACCGTATCCTTTCCAGTCCAGAAGCTTGAAAACATCTTCCAATGCAGCGGTAAAAAGTTTCATCACCCTGTCTTACACCTCTCTGAAATTGGATAGGTTTCCTACTCTGGTTCTGTACTCGGATAGCCATCGTAGCCCTACTATACAAGCACTTCAACACTTCGATATACCGACAGTCAACTTGGCATCGCTGAAGGGACTGCAGCACCGCCCAAATTTCGACGGAATCAAAGGCTTTCTCATAGTCCACATACGCCAGACATAGTGGCAAATTGTACTTCTCGGACTTCTGTACAATTTGCCGAAGGATATGTATGTGGTCTATGGTGCTAAAGCCTTGTCGGAAACCGTCTTGTTCGGGAGGCTGGAAGTCGTCAAGTGTGCGCGCGAGACGATTCGTAATGACTCTCGAAAACAGCACGTAGACGCGGCTCAGAAGGGAAATCGGTCTGTAGTTCTTCAAGAGAGCGTTGTCGCCTTTCTTGAAGAACAAGACCACCGCACTTCTGCTCCACGCCTCCGGTGTAATGCCACCATGGAGGACGGAATTAAAGAGCTTCTGAAGGACTTCAAGTACCGGTTTTCCACCCGCTTTCAGAAGCTCCGCTGTAATTCCATCCTCGCCTGGGGCCTTGCCGTTTTTTATGTACTGGAGAGTCATTCTAATCTCGCTCAGACTGACGTCCGGGATATCATCGGAATAATGTCAGATAAGACTCGCTCTTGGATCGTTACTCACACTTGCGTGCGGCTCCAACGATGACGTGTACAGCTGCCCATAGAACCTCTCAATCTCACTCAAAATCTCAGGTGCCCCGGAAACGATGCTGCCACATTCTGTCTTCAGCTTTGACAGTTGGCGCTTTCTGGCAGACTGATCTCTGGCAAAGACTTTGGAGCCTTGGTTCCGCTCGATCGCTTCTTCAATACGAGCTGTATTGAAGTTGCGTAAGTCCCGCCGCATGCATTTGGAGATCTCTCTGTTCAGTTGCCTGTATGCTGTCAAATCTGTTGAAGAATGTAGCTTCATCACCCGTCTAACAGCCATGAGATTAAGAGTGTGATCGGAGAGTTTTTGTGTTCTTCTGCGGCGGGTCTTGCAGAACTTAGCTGCGACCGCATGGACAGTTTCAACGAGCTTGTCATTCAAATCGTCCACTTCATTCTTCTAGGCACTGAAAACGGTTTTGTAACTATGGTAACGGTAACGGATACAAAAACTCAAGTCTCAACAACTTGTATTTAGAGCACAGATCAGCAATTCTAGATATAAAACTAGTAATGAACAAATGATCCGGTTATAACGACACCGATACGAATGACGAATACATCGTGGTTCGTAATACGATTACTAATAACGATTTGTCTTGCTTTAAATTAAACATTTCTTTAAATTAAAAAACGAAAAAGAGGTCATTAATTGCAGGTATGTATGGATAAATTCGTAATTCTTATTTACTCTGATTATGCCGAGGGACGAAACCGATCGGTTTATGTTTTATACGAGAGGGACAAACGAGCATACGGCTCACCTGATGGTAAGTGACTACCGCCGCCCACGAACAACTGCAAGACCAAGGGAATTGCAGGTGCGTTGCCGGCCTTTTAAAAAGGAGTAAGCTCTTTTTTTGATGGTCCCTAAGTCGTATCGGTCTGGAAAAATAGCCGGTGGTAAGCTATTCCACAGAGAGGTCGTACGCGGAATAAAACTCCTAATGAAATGTATAGTGGTGGACCGCCGAGCATCCAGATCGTGTGCATGGTATCGGAAGTTTTGCCGCGATGTGCGTTCGTGAAATTTAATTCGAACTGCTCTGCGCTGCATGCGGTCAAGTGGAAGGAGCTGGCACTGGGGAACCCCTACCCAGAGATGAGAACAGTATTCCATGTGAGGCCAAACGTGCGCCTTGTAAAGTTGCAAGCGGTGTGCTGGCATGAAATACTGTCCCGCTCTGCTGAACACGCCAAGCTTTTTAGAGGACAATTTTTTTTATAGGAAAGGGGGCAAACGAGCATGCGGCTCACCTGATGGTAAATGACTACCGCCGCCCATGAACAACCGCAACACCAGGGGAATTGCAGATGCGTTGCCGGCCTTTTAAAAAGGAGTAGGCTCTTTTCTTGAAGGTCGCCTTTCCTCCCAAGTAACCACGAAACTGCACGTCACTCGATATGTCGACACCGAGGATACCGATACTGGCTGAGGCAACAAGAGGAGTGCCTTGAAACCGAGGAGACACGACAAAGCGGTTCTTTTTAGCGGGAAACGCGCAAACTTGTGTCTTCTGAGGATTGAACTGGACTAGATTTAGTCGCACCCACTCCGAGACTTTGTTCAGCAAAGACTCGACTTCAGACACAAGTTTGTTCCGGTACTCGGCGACGTTTTCCCAAGAAATATTGGCACGGCCGGTATATAAGGCATCACCAGTGCTGTCGTCTGCATAGCAATGAATGTTACTGGTTTGCAACATATCATTGATAGAAACTGCGTTGGTGATAGCACGCAACCTTATGGAACACCAGCGTTGATAGGCTTGATATCAGAGCATGCACCGTCTACTACGACCTTGATGCTCCAATCAGCAAGGAAACTGGTGATCCATTTGCACTATTTTTCGGGAAGCCCATAAGAAGGAAGCTTCAAAAGAAGCGCTTTGTGCCAGACCCGATAGAAGTCCTTCGCTATGTCCAGACTAACGGCCAACACCTCCCCCTGGACTCCACTGCTTCCACCCATCTA